AACCAGAGAGTGTTTATCTTTTTTTTTTTTTAAAGGTATGCTCTAGGACAACCTGTGAGTCTGGAGCCGCATGTGGCTCTTTCATCCCTCTGCTGTGGCTCCCTGTTGCTCAAAATATGTGTCACAACCGCCAATCACAAAAAACTAAACTGAACTAAACTTTTTCAAAAGGCAACTACACCTACTTTGTTTTGGCTTGAAGAGGTTTTGCTCCTTGTCCAAAGAAGCTTCTTCAGTCTTAGGGTTAGGGTTAGGGAACTGAAGAAGCTTCTGGGATGAGTAGCAAAACCTCTTCAAGCCAAAACAAAGTAGGTGTAGTTGCCTTTTGAAAAAGTTTAATTCAGTTTAGTTTTTTGTGATTGGCGGTTGTGACACATATTTTGAGCAACAGGGAGCCACAGCAGAGGGATGAAAGAGCCACATGCGGCTCCAGACTCACAGGTTGTCCTAGAGCATACCTTAAAAAAAAAAAAAGATAAACACTCTCTGGTTGGGCTCATCCCTTTAGCAACTGTGGAGACCCATCTGCATAATTTCCTTGGCAGGAAGCATGGAAACCATTTTATTGTTGTTTTCTTCCAGGTTGATGTTCTTTCCATTCCAGCTCTTTTTGCTTTTGTTTCCTTTGTTCTTCTGGTAGGCTTCCATCCAAATATTAATCGGGCCAACCCTGCTTAGTTGGGGAAGAATCAACCAAAGTCAGCTAGGTCCTAGCATCTATTATGATTCAAGGACATTGCCTGGCAATCAATAAATCCAATTTTGGAAACTCTCTCTAGCAGGCTTTGCAGAGGGCTCTCTGCTTTCTTGAACCCAAGATTGGAAAGAGGGGACAGCAAGCAGCAAATGATGGGGCTACAGGGACGAGAAGGATGGATATTATAGCATAATTAATCCAGGTGTAACTCAGCGAGTGGAGGCCAACTTGTGATTTTTAATGTAGGTTTTATCTGTTCTTTATTACTTTACTAGCCGATAACCCGTCCTCGCCCGGATACTTATTTACAGGGGGGGGGAATGCCCAGACCATCTGTAATTTCTAATGTTGGATTTTCCCCCTTATTAGAGGATTGAAGTAGCTTCTTCAATTCTTCTTCAGAAGCTGAAGAAGCTTCTTGGATGAGAAGCAAAGCATCTCCCAACCAAAACAGAGCAAGCTTTTTGGGACAACCATGACCTGGATGATGGAGAATCACTTAGAGTCCTTTGGGAGAAGGGCAGCATATAAATCCAATCCAATCCAATCCATAGACATTTAACTATGCCAGAGCTGAGGAAGCTTCTTGGATCGGAAGCGAAACCTCTTCCAAGGGAAACCAGAAAGTCCAGTTGCTTCTTGAAAAAAAGCACCTTTGGGACAACCATGACCTGGATGACCGAGAATCTCCATAGATGATCATTAGTTCCTTTTTTTCAGCACCGTTGTAACTTCAAATGGTCACTAAGTAAACCGTTGTAAGTCAAGGATCACCTGAGGCCCAAGGACACACACACACACCATAATCTGAAAGGGCCAGCTGCGTTATACTCCGGATCCGGAACCTCTGACTTACAGATGTGCCAATGGTTTTACAAATCCTTCCACGTCCCCGGAAACTATTGTTCAACGCGATTAATTACCATCAGAGGCAGTTAATTGGGCTAATTATGTTCATTTTGGGAATGGGTGGTTTAATTGCCATCTCCTACCTCCAAGTTACTGACTACCCAATCTTCAGAAAGCTTGTTCCAGCCAACCCCTTCTTCTGAGGGACGTCCAACAATTTGCCACCTGCAGCTCTCTGGGTGAATATTATAGTGGGATAGACTCCCCCCCCCCCCTGCATGGCCTTACAAAGTCTTCCCCACACACCCTCACAATACAATCCTCAGAAATATGTTTGTGTGGGCCTTTTATCCTACGGGCACATTTAGTCTGGGGTCAGTGGTTGGTTCCTACCAGTTCGGACAGACAGACAGACAGATGGAGAGAGGGAGAGAGAGGGAGAAAGAGAGGATATAGATTGAAAAATATGATATTGATAGATTGATAGTTTAGATAGGTAGGTAGGTAGGTAGGGAGGGAGAGAGAGAGAGAGAGAGGGATGGATGGATGGATGGATGGATGGA